TGTTTTATTGTGAGCATCAGAGCTAGGAAAGAAAGTGATCAATCCTCTACCATCAGGTATATTATGCCAGCTATAGAGATACTGTAATACAGCCAAGGCCACTTCCCACGAGCCCTCGTATTTAACAGATCTTGGAAAGTGGGTGATATAATTAGTCAGAGTATTGTTGGCAAAATAGTTCATAGAACTATTGATGGGTAACGTCACGTGCAACTGGTCCATGTTGAATAATGGGTAATAGAATTATACATAACATTTTATTATTGCAGCTGATTCAGATTGGCTTGAGAGATCCAGCTGTTAAATATATCTGGCTATCCTTTTCATTTAATGAAATACTATTTCTTCCACAGCATATTCATCGTTCGAGGACATGATAACATGTTGTAAGTCAGATTCATAAATTATTCCATATAATTCTTCTCCAACCAAATCTTGCAATTTGTACACTGGGGGGAGGGGTCACTCCAATCTCTTGTGAATTGTAAATATTATGTCTGTCTAACTAAGCATATATTCCTTCTTACAGTGACGTCTTGCTATACTATTTCAAATATGGTCACCCACTTAGAATCGAAATTTCTCTTTTATGTGTGATTTGTAGTGTTTTTCATACCAGTCTGATTAGTGTGATTAACGTCGATCGGTCTCAGTGACATGACTTATTATAGACACTTACTAAATTTTTAACACCGTAATATTCTTGAATATTTCATGATGGGTAAAATAGCACCACATTTTAGTTTTAATAATAATACAATTAAAATGTTCAACTATAGAGGCTTTTGTTCCATTATGCGTAGTAAAGAAGTGAATGACTTGTTCGTTGGATCACATTGAAACAGTCTATTAGTAAATTCTGTTCCAGAATCGGTTTGAAGGTTACAAGGTTTTCGACCTTGTTTTAAAATCTGCTCGAAGGTATTTACGAGTATCACTCCTTTCTTATCTTTGAGTGGAACAATCCATACATATTTTTAAAACACATCAAGACACGTCAGCAAATACTTAAACTGATTGTTATACCAACTTAAGTTAGATACTAGATCTACCAAATAGTCTGTCACTGCTCATCAATACAAGAAAAGATCATTTCAAAACATACTTACCATCCACTGACACTTTAGTTATTCCTTGACTTTGCCCATCCAAGCATTGGGTTTGCTTGCTTGCTCCAGTCTTTTATACCACACTTAAATGCCCTTGGCGTTGCGACACTCTCCACCACCTCACTCAGATAATTAATCACTTTTTCTCGACGTTGGTCACGCTTTTCTCTGAAGCAATGTTGTACTTCATTAGGTTCTGGTTTGCTATTTTGGTGTTGCCTAGTGGATTTCCAAAAAATTACAATTTCCTTAAAATAAATCGACATGCTGTTTTCGGGTACGACTTCCCGTATTACTGTCGTCAAAACAGACTCTCCTTTTCCTTCTCTGTTATGTAGCGTCTCTCTATGGTCGGGGGCGGGGGTGGTCACTCTCAGTTGAAGTTTCTGTGATTTGATCTATTGTGAGATAGAGACATATATTCGGCCATATATTGAGGCTACTTTTCTTGATGATTCAGGACATTCTGGGGCAAATTTGGACTCTGTTTTTCGGCGACTTTTCTTCAATTAGTCTCTCTGGTTTGTGAGATTTTGGGACTTTCCTCGGTGGCCTTTGAGTCTACTCTTTCCTTAATGGTGGGAAGGTTGGGGGGGACTATTTCACTTTTCCTCCTTCCCCTGATATTGCTGGTTCATGCTGGAAGATTTGCTGCTTTATTTCATGACAGAATGGATACATCTTGTGTTTTTGCATATTTTGGCTTACTACAGCCAGCTGGACGTATATTTCGATTTGACAGACTAGATTCACTTTTGGTTATGTGGTGTTTCAGACTAAACCGTGTAATCACCTTGAACAGTTCACAATTTTCTTGTATTTGTTGGACCCCAGCTTCTGTTCCTTGCTTTATGGATACTCAGAATAGATTCCATCCTTAGTTTCAAGGCTTCGCCACTCGGGCTGACTGTCGACAATGGCGTTGTTGTCTACTCTAGGTTGGTGGGATCTGTAGAAGTGTGGTTGCAATTGAGGGACATCTGGTTTTTACCACTGAAGATCTATGGTACTTCAGGTTCTGGTGTTTGGGTTGGTCTTTGTGCTCACTTCTCTACATCCAAAAGAGAGGTTGAACTAACCAGGTGCCATCAAGCTGAAGTCAAGC